CGTTGCGATCAGACAGTTAAACTCTATCTAACGATATAATTTTTATATTTATTCGTTATACTTTTTCCGACATCATATTTTTGGGTGGTTGACTTTGACAGAGTCAAAATTGGTTTAATTGACCTTTGTTCAAAAAGGTTCTCACATTTAATTCATATTATTTATTTCCATGATTTATTTCAATAAATCATTTCAAAGTTCACATTATAAACAATTTCTTCATTTATTCTTAATTTGGGTCTGTACTCAGGTTCCCAATCAAGATCACACATTAAATCAACATGTTGGATTTATCTCTATGAGATTTATCCCAATTATGTTTATTGGATATCAATATATATTTTATTTCAGCCCAAAGCCCAACAACAATTTATTTTAATCAAAACAAATTTTGTTTAATTGAATATTTAATTCAATAAATTTTAGGGTATATTTTGGGGCGTTACATTTCTTCCCCCCTTAAAGGAATTTCGTCCTCGAAATTCTTCTAAGGTCAAACGTTCAACATTTCGTAGTGATCTCACTTAATCATGACTGTGTCATGCTCAATGGGTTAAACCATAATTACGTCATTATCCATGTAATCTCAAACTGTCGATGTTATCAAACTCGTTCTTTCTTCAAGAGGTTAATAATCTTAGATTAAGCAAGGTATCCAACAATTCTTTTGCGGGTTCCTGTTCAAATTCAACATCCATAACTTGGGTTCCTTTGCAGGGTATAACATCGTATTTTGGAGCATATTTGACATACTTCGCTCATTCATAAGTCTTGATTGTTCGTCATTAGTCAACAACATTCTTTCTTTAATTGAAAGTCCTTCAGTAGCATTTGCAGTTTCAAGTTCGTGATAGTTATAGTGGAAGATTTGGATGTTGTTTAATTCATACGTCATAGCGTAATCTTTATCCAAAATATCCCCACATCGTTCTCATAGTTCAGCAATGATTCGTAAGTAACATCAATTGGCTTTTATTGGTTCATGATTTCCAGAATATAGGATTTGTCATCATTTATGAGGAGATACTGTCGATCGGTTGTACAGTAGTTCGTCATTCATCGACCTTATGTTGAAACATTTCTTCATTCATCTTCATGGTAGCTCTCATTTATCGTTTAATGAGTCTTCGTACTCATAGGTGATGACGTTCGAGTAGCGTCTCATGTACGACTTGTCGTATTTAAACTTCTTCTATTAATTTGAAACCGTATCTAGATATGATAGCGACAGACTCGATTGTAGCACTATGGCTGATCTTGTTTCAAGGGAAGAAGAGAATATCTTCAGTACGCGATTCAATTCATGAATTCATAGAGTGAGGGATCCTTACAAGTTCTAACACCAACATCGCATATAGGTTAGGGATTTTCGCTTAAATGATTCAGCTTGTTCTCGTGACGTCATTTCTTCTTTGGTTGTTGCACACACATATCCTTGCTAGGGTTATAACAGAGTTTGTTTGGTCAATAAGATCGTCAATAATAATCTTCAGAGATAACGTAATTGTATTGATTGTTTTGTGGTCCACAAAGAGAGGTTCAACATAATGTTCAAGTCAAGGTAGTTTTACTATTGTGATCGAGTCATGTATTCCACAAGGTATAGTTTTCAAAGATCGGTATCATAAAACATCTTTTTGTTTAATGAAGAATCGTGGTTTTATTATTTTGATACAAAGAATGGAATTCAATCTTTTCAAGATTGATCAAGCAGGATGTTTCAATGGTGTAGTTAACACATCAAGTTTGAGTAATTCAAGGATATGAGTCATAAGATATCAAGATAGAATTTGTGAATTACCTTTACTAATCGTAGGTTTTCTTCCTTCAATGTTTCACTCTTTGGAAGTTACTCAAGAGGTCGTTGTCTTAGGAAATAGCCATTTTGACTTTTCGTCTCGGATTTGGACGTGTTTCAGGACAGCGAATCTAACTGTTCAAGAGTCTCAATACGTCATATCGTCAGCAGACTATAGTATTAGCGAGTACGTTCTCGTCTGCAGGTAATTTGAATCCATTTTACTGTACGTATTTTGGCTGGTGATAATTACTTTTCCATCAATGGTCAGGTTCTAGAGACTATATATATCACGATTATGGGAAGTGTATCTCGCATTCTCACATTATGGAAGGAACTTCTCGAACACTTCCTTACACCATAAGATTCGGTTGTCTACTTGGTAGTCATTCTCTTGGTATAAATCCAAAGTTTATGGCTACTGCGGTAGCTTTAGGAAGGGAATTGTTAAGACGAAAAATTAAACTTGCCTATGGAGGAGGTAGTGTTGGCCTTCAAGGAGCTGTTGCTTCAACAGTCTTTACCAATGGTGGTCTCGTTAGAGGTTTCATTCCTGGGTATATAGCAACACGACGGGTCTATGGACCTACATACGGCGTAGAGCACACAGTTTCCAGCAATTACTACAAATATTTTGAGATGAATCATGCCGTGGAAGCTTTCGTCATTCTTCCTGGAGTAGTTGACACTATGGAAGGTTTGTTCACCTTGATCTCGTGGGCTTCTGAAGGGTTACACAATAGACCCATTGGTCTCTTGAACATTGACGGTTATTTCAATAACCTACTCAAATTTCTAGATGATGCAGTGAGGCAGAACTTCATGGCTTCCAGTCCGAGGAAACTTTTCATTTCTTCTTTTTTTGTTGATGAGCTTTTAGACAAACTAGAATTTGCTAAAGCTTTCCCGGGATGTGGGGTTAGTTACGATGAGTTTGTGAATCCTGGAAGACTAGACTTAGAATTGCATTTGTAACATTTCTCTTGTAATTCAAGTTGTATTTTGGTGTTGCAATGATATTATCCATAAATATTCTCCTGGTTGAATAGCTAGTGCGAGCTACATTTTCTTCATTCTTCACTCTTTCACTGTTGGTGTCACTGTTTCACATTTTGTTTTG